CCCTCCCTCTCCCCCTCCCTCTCCCCCTCCCTCTCCTCTGCACCCGAGGGAGCACCCAACCTAAAGTGGTGAAACGGTCTATTGTTTCCGATTACGTTCTCCTTTTCTTCCCCATTTGCATTGAACGGACGTAGACTAAAATGGTCTATTTGTATCCCCTGCTGGACAATTCTTATTTTGTCTAACTAAAGTTACAAATTTGCACATACTCGGGTTACAAAATTGCATTCTGCACTGTTAAAAAAAAATTGTGATTATACAACAATTTTATCTGAAAATCACAATACTTTTCTGGGAACCAAAATCCCAACGCTTGTTCGTGCTTTCCCAGAATATCTACGTGTTTTTCTTTTCCAACATTCCATTGTAACCACTCTACAAATATCCTTCGTTTTAATCCATGACATCTACGGAATTAAGAAACACCAACATGCGTCTCTGTTAAACTCTAGAAAAAATTGTAATTTTTAATGGGTCGGTTTAATTCACATCAATAGCAAATACAGTAGCAGGCTGTTATTTCTTGCATCTGCATCCCAGTTGACAAAAAATTTTCAACATCTCACTATTCAGTTTTAAGATGTAAAGAAAACGATACTTTGTTGGGAATTTGGAAATGTTCCCTGGAAATTTGAAACCAACGGTTTGTTGTAAATTCACAAAGTTTCTTTGCAGCCCATAGTTTACGAATAAATGTCGTTAAATCCTTAAAAATTTAACAAAGAGTTTTGGAAACATTTTTCACGTAGAATTCTTCGTGAAGTTCTGACCTTTTTTTTAACAGTGTGCAATAAGAGGTGTACACAGACGCATCTTGCAATGAACAAAAATTTGCTCTTTGCCATTTGGAGTGTAGCTTCCACGACTTATTCTCCATGAAATCCCAGAGCTGGTTTTGGAAGTGTGCAACAGATGCAGAGTGGGGCAGGTCCAGGCCCCAAATAGACAACCGTCTCTATAATGCAATGTACACGAATCGTCGGGAATGACAGATTTTGTCTCCTCCTCCCCCTCCTCTTCATTTGGAGCTCCACGCCACGCCGTCAATGCCGTAGGCGAGGAGGAGTGGCTGGACAACTGCTTAGTCGGTATAATAACCCGCCACCTGAGCAGCCGTGCATTCAAAGCAAATTCTTATCGTGGAAAAGGAGGGAGGGGGTGCTGCAAAGGCGCGCGTAACCTTGCACCACGCCCCTCGCCTCTGTGTTGAGGGGATCGACTGTCAGATATTTCGGGGAGAGATCGAAAGGAGGGCTCCTCCCTCCTTCCCTCTCCTGCATTTCGCCACACATTTCCCACCCGCAACCCTTCTCCCGCTCTCCCTCTCGCTCTGTTTATCTCCTACCTTCCATCTTGTCTTCCTCTATTCTATGTCTGCCCCCTACCT